AGCATGTTGCGAACCAAATCGACAGCCAATGGGTCCGGCACCATTCCTAGGGCGGGGTGAATCTGCAGCACCTCATCCGCGGTGCAGATGCGTTGAAACAGCAACGAATCGCCGCCATCCACAACCTCCTCCTCTTCAAAGGGAAAACGGCCTGTCAGCATCACGAAGAGCACAACACCCGCCGACCACACATCGATCAGCTCCCCCTTGTACGGGCACCCCTTGACAAGCTCAGGCGCCGCATAGTGTTTTGATGCACAGCACAACTGAAGCGTTCCGTCCTTTACCTCAAACGACGGAATAGCAGCGCACATGTCAAGTCGACCCAACTTGGCCCGGTTGCTGCTGTCCAAAAATATACTCTCAAGTTTGATGTTTCGATGCACCAGACCGCACACGGAGTGCAGGTAATGCAGACCGTTCATGAGATCCTGCATGGTGCGTCGTATAAAACTCAGAGATAAGCACCGAAATGGCTGCTGAGCGGGCTGACGGCCCGTGTCATTTGCAGAAGGCGCGGCCGTGCTTCGGTAGTATTCGTCCAGCGCAATAAGAAGCTCGCCGCCCACGCAGTGCTCCTCCACAAGAAAGAGGTCAACATCCGAGACGAACGCCGGCAACCCTTTCACGATGTTCGGATGATGTGCCACTCGTGAAGCAAGGGCTCTCCGTTCAATGCGCCTGCGAAGTGACGGGTGCTTGCGCAAATAATCCAGCGCGTAAACACGAATGAGCACCAGTTCTTTTGTGTCATCCGACTGCGCCACCAGCGTCTCGTGGGAGGGGCCGCTACAAATATGCTGCACGTGCGTGTACCCCGGCAAAGCCAGCTCTCGCATTGCACTTGTGCTCCCAGTCTTGTTGTTACGGCTGCTGGTGCGAGCCGTCATGGTGTCAACTACGTGCTGGTCCTCTAAGAAACACAGACCAACAAAAAGAATATATTCACACACACACACAACAAAAAAAAAAAAAAAAAGAGAACGACGACAACAACAAACAAACGAAGAAACAAAAATGCGCAGAACATTTTCTGTGGTCCGTGTCCACAGCGCCACATTCCAACCATCGCCGCCACCACATATGCAGACACAAGTACAGAAAGCTGGGTATTACTCCACACCCCACCGCACCGTCTTTGCACAGCATCACGAACCAAAATTTATGTTAAAAATGTTCATGCACACCTTCTTTGTCGCCCCGATTCAATTCGAGCTCCCGCGCTGCTCGTGTGGGGGGCGTAGTAGTTTTTCTTCGAAATCCCCACTACAAAATCGGAGGTGCTGTCCTTCATGTCGAGTAGCGAGAGGTGCCGCGGCTGCATACCAATTATTTCCAAAAACAACGCCGTCTCCTCGCTTGTGATGCCGCCCGTCGTTCGTGCCCGCAACTCTTCCAGCCGCCGTTGCAGCAAGCGCTTCGTAAATGGCATGACATAACTGTCTTTCTCCAGCAGAGCCTTCCAGATGTGCTTGACGGCCCGTTGGCGCTCCGTCGCTTCATTTATCATCACGGACCCCATGAGGGACTCTTGCAGTACAATTGGAGAGAGGCGCTGGCCCTTCTCGCGCCAATCTGAGAGCGCAGAGAACACCAGTTCGGGCGCATGGTGGCGTAAAAGACGAACGTACGTGGCGCGCAGGAAATCGTCCATCTTGGTATGGTCAAAAAATTTATCAAGAAGCCCCTTTGCCTCGAGGGCACGGGGAGAAAACATGCAGCAAAGGAGGAAACCGCGCCACTCCACTGCTCCCCATTCTATGGCTCGGCTCTGCGACAACTGCCACAGGCCAAATGCCATCTCGCTCCAGTCCTGATTCTGCGGGAGAGTGGTGTTCTCATCCAGCTCGCCTTTGCGCCGTCGTGCGTCCATCAATGCCTGGCAGTTGCGCTGATGCTCCGGTGTTTTTTGCCACACATAGACACTAACGTTGCGGTGGTTGTACGGCTCGTTACACAACGGACAGGGCCGCCCACCCCCGGAACGGGAGTAGTAAAACATCAGCCGACTCATGTCGGGGGTTGCCAGGACACACTGCGGCAAAGACACCCTCCATCGCATGAAAAGTTCCGGAACATTTGGATAGTTCAGTGCACAGGCAAGCTGCATCAGCTTTGCGGTGCTGCTCTCCGCGATGTCGATCCCGTAGCTCTCCGTGTCCTCCATCACAGCAATCATCTTCTCCACATTATCCGTCGCAAAGTAGTAATCGATCAACCGATACATGATACTGAAGTTGGGGCGCGAGGGAATATCCTGACGAAGCATCTCCAACACCTCCTCCAACACCGCATCGCATTGGAGGACACACTCATCGAAGTCAACACATCGTTCGCAGCTGATCACCCACTCCACCACGACGCCGTCACGTTTGGTGAAATTTTCCGGGAAGGCCGAGCGATAGATATTTTGCCGGTCAAAGAACCCCACAATCATCGTGAGAAGAAAGACAATGCGGGTGTATAGAACATGATCAAAGACAAGACGGTCTTCCTTACAAAATTGCACGAGTTCTCGAATATGGGAAATTCCTTCCGTTACAAGTAGTGGCGAGCGGCCTTCGTAGTTGAAGTGGTGGGACAGCCATTCGCGGATCACCGTAAAGCCCTCTGCAGCAAAGGTGCGTGTCAAAACAAACCCCAGCCGACGGAAATTATCAACGCAGTCAAACCACTCATGTAGACATTGCGTGCGGGGCGCCACGGCAGTCAACGCCTGCAAAACCGCCACCCGATAGCCGTGACCGTTCAGCACATCATGACAAAGGGGGTTGCGGTACAAAACGGTGTCCAGAACGTGCCGTAACTCCTTTGCGTTCTTACAGCCCTTAAGGAGGTCTTTTATGTCCTCAGAACTTGTCAACGGTACGGCTTCGCGCAGAATAGAAGCTGCGGTCAATCCACACACCTCCTGCGCATTGAGGGCCCCTTTTTCACCTCCACTTGTCGGTGTATGACGCGTCATTTCATCACTAGATACTTCAGAGGCTGTGTTAACGGTATCAGAGGCCCATTGCTGCTGCAGTTGTTCCTCTTCAAAGCCAGTTTCAGCAAAGAAGGAGCCGGAGCCGGAGCCGATGCTCAGTCTGGGCCCAGAGAGGTGTAGCCCTCGACCATTCATCGGATACGAGAGGAAGCCGCTGCGGCCACGGGCAAATATGCGCCCTTCCGTCGACAAAGTGAGAAGGCGTTGAAGTCTCAAGTACATCTATTTTTGTTGCTATTCCCCTCCCCTCCCCGCCACGCTACTTCTCCTCCCCCCGTTTTCCTTCAACTGGGACAAGAGAGAGAGAGAGAGAGAGAGAAGGTGCGTCCTCCACCGCCCTGATGAAAGGCGCAGTTCAAAGGGGAAAGCACATAAACATATATATATATCCATGTAATCATCATCAACGACATAATAATAATAAAAATTGACTTCTTCAGAAGTAATCATCCGTCCACGACTCAAATTATTACAACTGGGCGCCGCATATCCCTTGGCGAAGGGAGTGCGGGTGGGCGACAGAACCAGGACCGACTGAACGGAGGCCACGCTCCCACCCCACCCCCATCGCAGACACAAAAAAATCACGAACACAACTGCAAGGCAGAGACAAAGCACTCGTTCATCCCCCCCCCCCCCCCCCCACACCGGTGTTCCTGGGGGAGGGGGGGAGGCAAAACAAAATAATTTCCGTTAGTCCAATTTTTTCGTTCGCGTGGATATTTTCCCCCTCGCTGCCCACAAGAAAGAGGCCACACAAATCACAACGTCAAAAGAAAGAGCCAAAAAAAACACACAAACACACAACAACACAAAAACACAAAGAAGAAAATGAAGAATAGGAAACACCAAAGATCAAACATACACGCAGAACAACAAAAGTGAAAGTCAAAACACACATCTGCGCTTACATTGGCGCACACGCAAACACCCAAAACTGCAAATAGAGGCAACGCAATAAGAATGACGCGTGAACGTCAAGCAACTTCTTTACCTCTTCCTCTCCCGCACTCATCCACCAACCATGGCGTTAAAGAAGATGTCCTTAAAAAAAAAAAAAAAGGAAAAAAAAACGATATGGTGTAATCCACGTTATTGAGCCACAATTCACCCCGCCCCCACATTATTGCACTCCCGTTGCAGAAGGATACAAGAGCTTACTTCTCTTTCGACTTGCGTGTTTTTCTTCTCTTTTATACAACTCCTTTTCAGTATATATATATATACTCCTGCAGGCATGCCTATTTGTTGGAACACCGTAAAATTCCTCTCAGAAAAATAAGAGGAATCACTGAAATATTACATGCGGGGAGGGGGAACACGACATTTTCCTTCTCCACAAATTTGTTTGCTTGGCATATTTCTCTCATATATATATATATACCTTCATTTACATGCACACATAGATACATATAACATGTGCATGGGTACAATGTTGACTTCAATCCACTTCTCGTTTCACCGGGAGGAGAGGGGGGAGAAGGAAGGGGGGTGGGTGGGTGGGCTCGTGCAAAGACGTCTATAATCAAAAGCCGCAGCACAACGAAAAGAAAAGAAAAATACTTTTCACCCTTTCCCCCTTTTTGGTGATTTTGCACCTTCATTATTTCCTAAAAGCGGACCAAATCCAATTTCCGTTTCTTTTCTTATTCGTTAATTTTTTTGCTTTTCGTTTCTTTTTATTTTTCTTTTACTTACTTACTTCCCTTCTTTTTTTTTTTTTTTTGAGGTTTTATCTAAAACAACCGAACATCCAATTCCTTTCATTGTTGTCGTTGTCGTTGTTTTTCCGTTCTCTCGTTGAGCGCTGGCAGTGGGGACGTGCCGCGTCCCTCAATCCCTCCGCGGAGTCCCCGCCCGCCAGCGCGTCTCTCCCCGGGCTTTTCCCTCCTCCGCTTGCATCGAGCATGCATCGTCGTGCTAAAGAACGCACTGGAGACGCAGACACGCAGAGGAAAAGGGGGAGAGAGAGAAAGGAAAAAGACAGAGAAGCGTTTTTTCACCCGCCCCACGGCTACAACGCAAACAACGGGAGCTCCAGCAGTCGCTGCGCTGAAAGGCGTTCATTCGGGTCGTCCTTTAGACAATTGCAGACAAACTCGGCATCGAACTCGTCCAGGGATTCGGGGATGATGGGCTTCGCCGCGCCACTGCCAATCTGATAGACAAGAATCTGCGGTGACATCTCTAGGAATGGCTTCGCGTACGGTAACTTGCCTGTCACCAGCTGGATAAACATGATGCCGCAGCTCCAGATGTCGCTCTTCTCCTCTGGCGTACCTCTCGCAGATTCCGGTGCCAAGTAAACAGGTGTTCCCTGTATCTGAAGTCCTTTCCCTTCCATTCGCCGGCGGACAAGCTCCTGCAAAAAGGCCGAGGCTCCAAAGTCCGATATCTTACAGTTTCCAGCAAGCGTGAGAAGAACATTTTGCGGCTTAACATCACGGTGTATGACGCCCAGTGAGTGCAGCTTATGAAGACCACGCAACACATCCCGAATAAAGAGGCGGGCTGTTGTACCAGGGATGCTACCAAAGGCAGAAATCATTCCCTGAAGGGAACCTGCCATCATACATTCCATAACGATAATGATAAGATTGCTTTTAAAGGCATATGAAATAAATTCTACTACTTGATTACTTTTGACCTTTTGCATTGTCACCACTTCTCTTTCCACGTTGGCGATCTCCTCTTCCTCGGAGGGAAGTGGAAGAAACTTAATAGCGACCATGCGGCCGCTGAGAATATCCATGCCAAGATAGACGCAACCAAAGGAGCCCTTACCGAGGATACGGGAGCTACGCTGGTATGTGATGCCGTTCTTGGCAACAATTTCCGTGGGAATTTCGGAAGCAACTTTTGTGAGGGATCCGTCAATGTTGCAGAGGGAAAATGTTGGGGCAGTTACCATCGTTTCGCTGTTAATGGAGTCAAGCGAGTCCGTACCACAAAAAAAGCTGCAGCTGCGGCAATCCGGGAACGCCGGCCCCATTCTGTTGGTAAGGGAAAAACGTTGACGCCCAGCTCCATCATTTTCCTCGTCGCCGGGATCGCCCTTCTCGTCACTCCCAGCTGCAGATGCGGCGGCTGTGGCAGAAGCGTTGACGGTAGGCTCACGGATGGAAGGCGCAAACTCCTCCCGATTCACTTCCTCTTTTCCAGCAGACGCACCGCTGCACCTCTTCTTGTCGGCCTCTACACACTGCTCAGCATGCTCTTCATGCGGTGACACCACCGCCACACGTAAAAGAGGTTTGGATTGATGCTCCTTAGACGCGGCGTCGTCACCTTCTCCTGTTTCGGGCTCTAAACTCGGCGTTGACCGCTGCATATTCTGAGTTTGGCTTAACATTGTGAGTGAACGCGGCGACTGAGCGTTATTTGCCTCCGCGTCCTTCGAGGGCGCAACATTAGCGGCCTTCAAGGTGGGAGACTGGTTCTGTGTTCGTTTGGAGGCAAGCACGTTGTCATGTAACTCCTGGCGGAAATTTACGGCCTCGTCTTCATATATCGACTTGGGGGGTCTCAAGTACCGCGGGGGATCTAAAAAGGAATCCTCCTTGGTGCTCTGGACACCAATATCCGATGGACATTCCGTATTTGCAATGGCCTCAAAGTTTGGCCAGATGGGAAACGGGCGGAAGTACGGCATCGGCAATTCGTTCTCATGATACATGTAGTACTTGCAAAGTATCTCAATGCGGGTTAGTAACCGGCGCCCAATTCCAGGAAAACGAAGCCGTAATTGTTCAATACCCATCATGGCACGTGCAAAATCATGGTTTCTAAAATCAAAGAACACCCGTGCGTGTTCCTCCGCAAATGTTGATGATGACAGCAGCGCCCCCTTTACTAATGCTGGTCGCCGCTCCTCATAAAGTTCAAACATCACAATTGGATTGTCTTCCTCATGGTATTTGATTACGTCCACCATGATACATTCATAGAGGGATGCCAAAGATTGCTTCACCGGCTCTGACACAAGAACGCGGAAATATGGAAGGGAGGATGCTAATTCGGCGAGCGCAATGGCTTGACGGGGCACGGTTCCAAAGACTGTCGTGAAGGCCTCCTTGTTGTCTTCCACTACACCACAGACGAATGGGCCCTGATGAAGAACGATGCCCACACGAAACCCAGCTTCGCGATAGCATGACAACATTCTGGCTATACTTAACGCACATGCAGCGGCTCGCTGGGCGTGATCCGTGCGGCTCTCAAAGGCATTCCAGGCGGCAGCAATGCAATCTCCGGACCGTTCAAATAACTCTCCACGGTAGCGGCGAATTCGTCCAAGGAGTAAATTCATGATCCGGCGGTGCGGCTTCAGGGCGGCCCTATAGTTGGTAAAATAGGCCAACTCCACAGCACAGAGACGCACAACAAGAACGGTGGCCCCCTCCACCAGAGTCATACCGCCTCCGGCCAAGTCAATGTTGCTATGTCCCAAAAAATTATTTCCACTCGTCTCGAGGATTTCAACATCGGGAGAAATCAAACCACACCAACTCAGTTCACGTTGAAACATACCCTCCGGTCCATTGAATCTGCCCATCGCGGCCACCCCGTCCGGTATAGCAACGGTCTTAACAAATGCTTCCATGTCCATCCGATCATTCACCCCGGGGACCATGTCTTCTTCTTCTCCATCGTATTCCTCATCGTCATCCGATTCAATCTCCTCGACGATGGTCCGCCATAAATAATCTTTTCTTTTGCGCAAAGCAACCACCTGTTGCTCAAGAACATGTTGCGGGACGTACTTCTTGTTAAATCGGAAGCAAAAGGAAAGTACCTGAAATGACCGCACCAACGCCTGCAGGTCCCCTGGCCAACAATTTCTTGTGTGATGAAACACCCACTGCTGCTGTTTCGTTTTCTTCCATTTGTCACCCACAGTGTTGAAGACGAGTGACTTCAAGTGCTGCACAGGGGCGCTAATGCTCAGATACGCAATCACTAACGTGACAAAAACCAGAAAGATAGCGATGCTGCTGACGATCGATACTGCGGTCAACGCTATTTCTGTCTCTCGCCTCAATGGCTCGTCATCAACAATAAACCAAGCGCGAGTGGGATTGTCAGAACTACATTCGTTTTTCTCTGGTTCTGAACACAAAACACCACAAATAACCACGCGTGAAACACTTCCCCACAATCCCCTGTACGCCACGTACGCACCAGGCAACGCATTATGGGAGGCATTCATATCATTTTCCTTCATGGGTAAATTGTTCGTGTCAGGGCGTACCACAGTATGCCATGTGTGGAATTTTCCAGCGGCACAAATACTGTTAAAGACATTTTTTAAGACTTGACCCAGTGGGGTTGGTTGGGCAACGTCGTATCTCGTATACTCTGCGTCTAAGCTGTGCAAAGCAACGACTATTTTTAATGATGAAAAATCCGGCAAAAAGAAAGAAGTAGCACTGTGTTTCAATGCCAACGAACTGTAGGTTGGAATAGAGTTTGCAAGAAGAAGACGTCCCACGGGTTCTTTGTGCAAAATAACTGTAAGCACTTCTGATCCGGCTCTTAAAGTCATCATAGCAATAATGAAATCGGAACGGTAGACCGCCATGCGTGGGAAGCCCGTGGGCAGTTTATGTTGGGTACCTATAGAGGTCGGAGGGACAACAGGTTTGGTGGTTGCGGAAGGACACGCATACGATTCCAGAAGCGGTGTACCCAGTGGACCATACCTTGCAAACACCAAAGGAGCTCCACCGATGCTTCTACAAAGAATACCAAGGGTGTAATTTGTGGAGGTATCATGGGGGTCACCTTGTATCAATTCAAAATTATGTAACATATTCTTCACACTGTACTGCAGCCACTCCAGTTGATTCATAGCTGTCGCCGATGATATTCCCACTAATTCCTCCTCTGGAATAATAATATTATCTTTCACAAACAAATGAACTTCGCCAAGCAACATAAGGAAAATTAGAACAGTCACCAACATGACACCATAAAGTATCCACTTCAGACTAATGCCATGCACTTCCGATGCCTCACGCAACATTTCTTCTAGCGTTACGGTGTTTTGTTCCCCCGTTTCCTCAATCCGCAATCCATTAATTCCCAAAGGAGTGCTGGGACTACAGTCAGAGCACCTCTTGACTAAAATGGGTGTTGTTTCCTTTCCAGAGGCTCCCGCGTCTGCGGCCTTAAAATCTTTCCGTCCCTGTCGCGGGGAGGCATCTAAAAGCATCGCATGAATGCTGCCCATCTCCTTCGAGGACAAATCGGGGGAGCTTTCGTTATTCATCACTTCCATACAAGAAATGCTGCGCGCTGTTCTGAGCGCTGTCGTGTTCAATAAAGCCCGAGAAGATATTTTGTTGCTCACTTCCGCGGCTGCCATCTGTTTTCCCAAATCCCCAGAATACAAATTGCTTGCGGCGGTGCTCGCTCCTACAGTTCCTAAAGCCGGCAAAGTTGTGAGTTGAACACCCGCTCCCGTGGCTGAGTTCTGCTGACCCCTGGCACTCCAGGGCATAGGCAATCTAGGAATTTCTATACGATTTACTGAGGCTGGGTGGGATTTTGCGGTCTCCTGGCGAGGGGTCACGAGACGATCTCCCTCCAAACCCATTCACAGGCTGCGTTTCACGTGCCGCAGACTGTTACACGCCCCAATAAACTTTGGTTTCCGCTCCGCCCAAAAAAAAAAAAAAAAAAAAAAGAAAAGATGCCTACTGCCAACGCCAGACTTTTGATCCCCCTTCTCCTCTCTCTTGGTGTCGTCCTGCGGTTACTTTTCGTGTGCGTGAGGACCCGCTGGCCTCGTGGGAGGGGAGGGGAGGGGTGAGCGGGAGAACAACTTCTTGTTTTTCTTTGCCTGTCCTCCCCCTCTTTTCGCTAAGGGATGCTGTCCCGTTATTCTCCCGCCTTTATCGTGCCTGTGCTTACCGCTTCTTTGCGTGGCTTCACCCCTCCAAGGCAAAAGCAGCAACAACCACGACAACAATACAAACAAAAAAAAAAAACAACAACACTTTCTGTTGCTCCTTCTACTCCGTGGTGGCACGGCCATTAAATAAGAAAAGAAAAAAGAAACGAAGGGAATAAAAGAAGTGCGGGTGTGCTGAATTAAAGAGGCGGGACGCAAACACTTCACGGCATTGAATGCCGCAAGCAAAAAAGACACATTATAGAAAAAGAATTTTTTTTTTTTTTTCAGCCGCCGTGGGGATAAGAGAAAAAAGCACGAGTGGCCGCGGATGCCGCTTCGGGCACAAGGAAGGAGGAGAGGTGGGTGTAACGTCGCCTCCCTCCCTCCGTCCCTGCGGCGGGGAAAAAAGTCCCTCAAATGTCTCTTGTTGTTGTTGCTGCTTTTTTTTTTTTCTTTCTTCCCTTCGCTTTGACTGCCGCGTGCTCTTCTGCCCGCTCACGACCAGCACTCCTACTCCTGCGCCTGCATCCTCCAGCAAAAAAGAAATACGACCCTCTCCGCACCACACAGAGACACGCACACACAGACGCAAAAATAAACACAAAAATAAACAGAAATGTGATGCTTGGAGTGTCTGAAAAAAAATAAATGAAGGCTCGTTCTGACTCCCCCGCCACACAGAACCGAGTGCTGTCACCTCCTTTTTTCCCCTCACTCTTTCCCTCTATTTTTCTTTATTACGTCTGCTGGAGATGCTTAAGAGGCATGACTTGACACATCACGCTGGGAGCAATTTTTGCTCGCTATCTCTATTCTCTATGGCCACACCCGAAGGATAATAATAACAATAATAATAATAATGGTAATACTGGTGATAATATAGCTCATCCTAACAACATTTAATAATAATAATAACAATAATAATCACCATCATTATACCTCGCTGCTCTTCTCCAACTTATGCTTCGTTGAAATCATGTGCGGCGAGGTCCCTTCCATCATGTTGTTACCATCAGCATTGGCGGGCGCGGTGGCAAGTGAGCCGAGTCGCGAGGGGGGAAAATGGCGACGGAGATAATCGTGTAAGCCCCGCTGCAGGGCCGTAAAGTTATGATAAGTTTTAGGGAGAGCCATCAGGTCTCCGGTAGCGAAGGCCACCTTCTTCTTCGCATTGGCCACACTCTCCTCAAATTCAGCATCGTCTTTGCCGGACCCTTCCTCCTGTTCATGCTTTAAGCGCATGGAGCGCTCCACAATACTGGCCCGTTGCGCTCGTGTGGCCTCCGCAACGTAATTAAGAAACGTCGAGAGAAACATGGAAAGGAAATAGTCCGCTTGGGAGACGTTGGTCCCACGCAATATGGTCGGCCGCTTCGCTGGGTTTGGCTTTGCAATAAGATCCAACTTTTTCTCAAACGTTGCGGTGAATCCAATGTCCACAATGGACGGAAAAGTGGACTTGGCCGTTGAAACCAGCAACCGACCAATCGGAGTTGTTTCACAGCGTCCTTTTGGGTTCACAGCAATGTATCCCCGTGTCAAGAGAGTCTTCACTATCATGGGATAAGTGCTTGGGCGGCCCACACCATTGTTCTTAAGCTCTTCAATGAGTGTGCCCTCCGAGTGCAGCAGCGGCGGTACCGGGCGATTCTCACGGACGGTGGGAGAACGCAGCTCAAAAAACCGTGATTGCTTCAAGGACGCCAATGCGCTTCGCAAATTCGCAATAGCCCTGAATTCTTCCTGGGAGAGAGAGCGAATGACAGGGGCACCCTCCTTCTCCGTGATGTCCTCCGTCACCTCCTCTGCCACGCCGGTGGTGTTCTTATCGTTGACGCTACTGTTGGTGGCGTTATTCGTGCTTGGCGCGGCGCCAGCCGCGGCGGCTGTGGAATCCGTCTTTTGGAACGCGCGAGTCCATCCAGGCTCCGCAACACGCTTGCCCTCGAGCACAACCTGCAGCTTATCTCCACTACCGCTGGTAAACTTTACTGTGGCGGCAATCTTCTCACTCTTCATGGGAATCATAAAGGACGCCAGGGTGTTTCGACGCACAAGATCATACACCGCCCTTGTCATCGGGGGAAGTGAAAGGGACTCCCCATCGGCGTAAATATTCGTCGGGCGTATTGCCTCATGCGCATCTTCCACGTTTCCAACCGGTTGCTCCGCCCCTTTGCTTTGTTTGGTGGAGTTTTTTTTTCCTGTCCTTTTGGACTTTTTGCCTTCAGAGGCAGACACCGTTCGGTCCTCAAGGCGGTAGAGGAACTCCTTGCCGAACTCCTTCTTGATTGTGGCGTAAATGTCAGTCAAGGCGCTCTCGTCGATACGAGTACTGTCAGTTCTGGGGTATGTAATGTGGCCGAGTTGAAAAAGATCCTGCAGGCAACCGCTCACTGTTTCACTGCTCATCTTTAGGTGACGATTTGCCTTTGCGATGGCGGTGGCCATTGTAAATGGCTGCGGTGGCGGCACCTCGGACGGAACAATGAGAGGCTCAAGAGGGACAGTGAAGCCGCTACAGTTGTTTAACTTCCACCCGTTCAAACATCGCCTTGCCTCTGCCTCGGTGGCCCAATGGGATGCCTCCCCTTTAACATCGGGGTTGATGGTGACTACCTGCGAAAAAGTAGTACCATGGGGCCCTGGAAACTGACACATGACATCCACAATGTAATTTGTTTTATTTTTCTCCAGAAAGGCCGCTATCTTTTCTTCCCGCTCATGTATGAGGATAAGCGCCGGAGTCTGCACACGACCAATGGAACGCATCTGCGAATTGGCGGCCCGCACCACAGAACTTCCTAAAAAGCCAAATATCCGATCCATCGCATGACGCGTTTCAGCTGCGTTCGCAAGGTCATAGTCACACTTATCTACAAGACGCTCTCTCATTGCTTTTCGAATACCGTCTTCTGTGATGCTATGCATGTACGCACGTGAATACGGAACCTTCAGCTTTGGATACAGTCGCTTTATTGTTTGGAGGGCATGGACAGCAATCAGTTCCCCTTCACGGTCTGGATCCGTCGCAAGAATAATCTCGGTGACGTTGTTTAGCTTTTCCTCTATGTAGCGTTCGAGCGTTTCCTGAATGCGTCGACCTGGCAGAAGTTGCCACTCGAGGGTGTATTCAGCAACTGTGCCATTGGGAGGGAACGGCTCTTCCCCCGCCCCACGCACCTCCGGGAAAGATATGGCCCGTGGGGTCCATTGAATCTCCTTCATTGCCATGAAGTGTCCGGTCGTCGCCATCGCCACCGCCTTTTCGGCTCCCACGCCCAGGCGCCTGAGGTGCTCCTGTTTGAAGGACCAATCCGGGATGACATTCGGGTCGCTCAGAAGCCCCTCGACTTTGATCACCTTGTTGGGTGACTCAACAATCACAAGCTTCTCCAGCGCAGCAAGGGTTCGCCGCATCATTTTTATTGGACTTGAGAGGTCGCGGGCACTTTACCCAAGAGGAAACAAAGGAAAGGAGGGTATAATAATCGTAATAGTAATAATAAAAGAATAAAGAAGAACGAGTGTGATGTCTCAATAACCAAAACAACAACAACAAAAACAACAAAGCAGCAGCTCAACAGAAGAATCCCCCGTCCAAAAAAGAACAACATTGACAGACAATATTTACGCTGGACAATTCCTTTTTCTTTCTTTCTTAGCTTGTTTATTTTTGGTACATCTCGCGTCAGAATTGACGGCCCATTTCCACTATGTACATTTCAGACTCTGTATTAATTTCCTCCTTCTTCCCTCCTAGACGTAAGGCAAGCGCTTCTTTTCAAGCGTATAGAGTTCAATGGGGGAGTCCGCATACACAAAGAGTTTAAAATCGCCATTCCCTTCTGGTAGTTTTGTGTGGGGAATGAAAAGAAATGGCAGCGAGTCTGCCGCAGGAACGTGCGCCACGAGTGTCACCTCACTGTTGTAAGTGTAGGGAGTGGAGGCAATGGGTGTAAGTTCGCTGTTCTGCACGTTCAAGTCCAGCGCAATCATCATTCGATTGTTTGGATTGATGACAATGGGGGGCAAGAAGGCCTTTTTCTTTCCCGCACGCTTCACAAGAGGCTTGTCCGGCCCCTGCGGGTACTGCAGCAGAAGCGCCACGATTTGCGTCCGCCGATACGTATTTAGCGCCACAAACGGGTTGTTGATCCAGCTGCCAAACTGATCGGATCCCCCGCCGGCCGTGTAGCCGAGCTCCCAGCTGCCCTCCGCCACGGCGACCTGCGCCCACTCCTTCACGGGCTCCACTTCCACGGCGGAGGCGGAATAAAGGGCGACCGTCACAGCCGCCTCACGGTACGGCATGGAGGCATACACGACGAGAATGAGGGTGCACTCAGGCTGCACATCGACATTGCAGTCAATGACGGTTTCCCCAATTTTTTCTTCCGAGCGAGCCACAATGTCACCAGAGGAAATAAACAGCTTTCGACGCTGGCCATTTTCCCACTGATTATCGCCACGCAGGAGCATCATGCCGAGTTCCGTCCGCCTATCGCTCAAATCATCATTCCGGACAACAACAAACAGTCTTCCCTGACCCCCAACGGGGAAGTTCAGGGCTAACTGCGGACTGCTGCGCCATGACGAAAAACGCGGAGACCCACCAAAACTACCGTCAGCCAAGGTAAAAGAAACAGACTTTCTGTCACGGTACCAGTCAAGTCTTGGATCTATGCAGCAAAACCTCG